ACACACACACACACACACACACACACAAACACACACACACACACGTTTACTTAATCTGAATGGGGGCATTTCATAGACATGTTATTTTTATTTCAGTTCACAAATTTGACCCCAGAATCTGGTTAAGTCGAGTTGATTAGAGCTGTGAGAGTCTCTGTGCTCCTCAAACAATGCTTACATTGATGACGGAGGTGTTGCACAACAGTCAATGAACATTTACTCTGTTCCAGCTCTCCTTGTTCAAAACTCACGAGAGGAAACATCAGCGTCGGCTCTAGAATGAAAGTTTCACTTGACATCAACCACCTTCATGTATATGATTAAAAATAAAAGGTTTCAAAAGGCTGTTTGCAGCAAAACCATAGAAGAACCATTTTTTACATTGCAAAAATTATTTTTAATCAATAGTTCTGTCTTGTTTTCTGGTACAAATGTCTAAACATTCTTAAGATACATTTACTAGAGGAGCAAACTTAAGATATTAAGTTTTGTTTTCTGAAAAAAAAAATGAGTGAGTTTTGTTTCAAACAAGAAAAATGATGCCAGTGGGGTGAGAAAAATAAACTTGTTTTCCTTTTGGATTAAGTTTTTTTTTCTGACCCCATCAGCTGATATGTTTTATATATGATTTACTATATATATATATGATATACTATATTTTACTTTGATAATGTCTTTTATTTAATATTTTGTATTTTTAGGGGATTTTATGGTACTAAATTATATTTATGCCGTAGTTATAATCAATTTTTTTACCTGGTAGCTACTTTTTGAGCATAGACCTGAAAATGAAATTATTAAAAAAAATATTTTTTTTGAAATTTTGTCACTATTTATGAAGAAGATATTTGGCAGATTATAGCCACAGTGAAAAATGTAAAAAAAAAAAAAAGAAAAGTTAATGTAAAAAAAAAATTATGGAAGTTAAAAGTTCATTGTTATGAAAAATGCACAAAAATATTAATTTCAGATTTTATATGAAATATATATTTTCCAAAACTTGTTTTTCTCTAAAACTGCTAGCAAATCAAAGCTAGAAATCTAATGAAGTTGTGTTCCAAATTTGAGGCTGATATCTCAAAAAATGAGCATTCAATAAGACTTTGTTTGGGTGCAGTACCAAACGTTTCCACCAGATGAAATTCGCTTCTCATTCATTTCCAATGCAGTCATTTTTGACCACGAAAAAACAGTACAAGCGTGACATTTTTTTTCCCAGGACCATTTAACCTTCTCGAATCATGTCCATGTTTTTTTTGTGTGTGTGTGTGCTCACATAGCAAGTGCCAAAACCTTTACCAGGTTTTGTACCATTCTGATAAAGTAAAAAAATATATAAAAAAACTACAGTCTAAAATTGTTCAGTCAAAACTAACCCAAGAGTGCCAGAGGTTTAAATATTTGTTTAAATATTTGCACTAAAAATGAAGACAAAAATACAAAGTAAGAATAATTTTTTTGCATTGTGGTTCCTCAAAGAACCTTTCAGCAAACAGTTCTTAAAAGAACCATTTTATTCTAAGTGTGAAGAACATTTTAATAATATAAAGAATCTTTTTACACTGTAAAGAACTTTGGAAAGGTTCCACGGATGTTAAAGGTTCTTCATGTAGCCATCAATAGGAATTATTTTTAAAAGCATAGAGACACATTTACTCTTGTTTAATATCCTGTTTTAATCTGAAACACTCCAGCTGAAGCTGCTCGGGAATACAGAGAATATTCACCTCATAAACGGCAGTGTTTCACATGTTGTTGCGGATAATAGATGACAAACACGAATGGTCCAGCACAGTTTCACTGCTGTAGCTGAAACAAGACTCCATAGAAAGAAAACAGCTGAGGTTTGAGCTGCAAAAATCTGAGAGAGCATTGAAAATCTGGAAACAGAGAGTTTTAAGATCAAATCTAGCTGGAGAACGTGATCACCAGGTTTAGTTCATGTAGCTGCTGTCATCAAAGCAGAGGAAACACACCAAATACTAAGAAAATGCATTTTTAATTGAACTGTTCCTACTTTTACCCGTTAGGCCTGTCGCAATAATCAATATATCGACTTATCGCGCAATATATGTACATGACCTCAATAATTTTTGGTGACGCAATATATCGCACATTATATTTACTTAAAAATTAATGTCACCATGTTTTGTACATTCCAATTGCGCCTGTGTCTTTTGCAGCTTCTCGTACATAACGTGGTGTAGTCGGTGCTAGTTCACATTTAAAAAATGCTTCTACAAAAAAGTTTCTTCTGCAGATATGGCCTTAGTTAGGGATCTGTGTCTTTGTG